TATAAATTAAACATGTGTGTGGTCTGTTATACCGCGCGGTCCAAAAATTTTTGTAGCTTTTGGAAATGTTAGATAATAAATATTATTTTTTATTTAAACCGGTACATATATGTATATGATCGACCTGTATTTGCTTTCTTTTTTCATATTTTCATTATTTCATCAATAATAAGTACTATTCCGACAATGCAATTGTCGAAAGATTCCTTTTCAAAAGATTTCATATAAGAACAACATAAATGTAAATATGTACTTCTTCAACCAAGTCAATCGTAGCACTTGATTGTTATGGTTCACTAAAATGTATCGCCATATTAAATTTTCAATACAACCGTTCTAAGCCAACATTTGGAAAATAATACTTCTGCTTTATCGTTAAATATATACGTAATTTTAATCTGTACTTATAGATGCAAAAAGTACCAGTTAAAATTCTTGGCTTACACCAATTTCTGGTTAAATGTTCAGCTCATTTTTAATAGAAAATATGATTCTTTGAACCTTTGTCTAAAATAGATTTGATAAGAAGAAATAAAATTGTTTGTGTAACGTTTATGTTGTTAGCCGGTCCATAACAATGTTGACAAATATCTTTACTAATCATTAAATTAACTCTTTTTTGTCAGTATAAATCTGACGAGGTAAAACAACAATATATGAAAAAAATTGTAGATTGCGTTCTTGTTTATATTTATTTGTGTGTGTTTGTTTAAAGTGCTCATGTCACAAGAATGTGATGAAATCCAATTTTCGGGGTCCGGATCCCCTTTTGAAATATCGGAACCTATAATTCCGGGATCCCAGAATTGATTATCAGAATGAGAAATTTAATCTAAAGGAATACTTAATAAAAATGCAGATGCATATATAAAAAAATGAGAAAAGAGTTTTATTTAAATAGACAAAAAAAAGTAACATTCATATTTAGTGATTAAAAAAAATCAATTGTTCTTTTTTTCGCCTGCGGCTCGTGTCATAAACTTCATCCGCGTGAATAACAGCCACCATTATATGCTCGTTGAATAATATACTATTTTTATTATATAGATTTTCTTCTAGTGGCGATAATCCTAGAATTCTTTTCAAGAAAAGAAAGACAATGTCATTCAAGAAATTTTATTCGATAATTCACCATTTTCTACCCCTTCCAAACCAGCAAAAAGAGCATAATAATAAAAGTTGTATCTAAACCTGAACCTGAATTGTATTTTTCATTGAATCGATTAAATGGTGAATCGGTCTCAAATGAGTCTCGATCATCTGCCGTATGTACGTTTGTGAGTGTGTGGATGTTGTTTTTGATACGGAAACCTAAAATTAATCATAATGACGTAATATTTCAAATGATCGTTATATTTTTCGAAGGCCTCGCCGTTTCTAAATTTAAACCGTTAAATTTAGGTTAATACGGCCTGCCGCGCTACGTGTATTCTCTATCCGTTGCAAAACAGCCGGTTCCAGCATTGTGTTTTCCCGCGATGCCTAATTAGTGTCCGATGTGCCAGAACGAAAACGTCAATTTTCCATCGACCATCCGTCTTTTCCTGCATACTTTTAGAAAACGCGACAGAAAAACTCGTATTTGGAACAGAAACTAACCTTCATTGTTTTTTTTTCAAACTACATTTTTAATACATATTTCATCCGTTTCTATTTGTTGCTAAATATAAAAACAACATATTAACAGCGACATTTTAATTCGTTTAGACAGAATTGAAATAGAACAAATTAGAATAAGACAGTATTTCATAGCTCTTCTTATTCCAGTGCGTCTCCTGTTGGAGGTTTGCTATCTTCCCAGCTATTCGCATATTATATACGGAGGTTAAGAATATTTCACAATAGTTGTTGTTTTTACTTGATAATAACTAGTAATATACAGAGTGGTCCGAACTGTATTCCGGAAACTGCAGCATATTCTGCAGATAAAAAAATATCATAAATTTGAAATGTTTTAGTGTCCAAAGTTCAACAGAAACTATTTGATCATCAAATTAGTGTTTTAATAAAACACGCTTTTAGATGTATCAAAAATTTTTTAATAAGAGTAACATTAACTCTACATATTTATATGTTTCGGCTTGTTAGGCCTTTTTAAAGAGTTTTTTTAAAAACAGTTTCATTCTGTTCTTTAAAAACAGTTTTTAAAAAACTCTTGAAACAGGCATAACAAGCCGAAACATATGTAGAGTTAAAGTTACTCTTATTAAAAAATTTTTGATACATCTTAAAGCGTGTTTTATTAAAATACTAATATTTCAACGATGTTTCACAAGGAACCAACCGCAGCCTCAGTACTGTTTTATCATCATTTTTTAAAGAAAAATTTATGATTAATTTAAAAAAATAGAAAGTTCCCAAATTTATCATTTTAGTCAAATAACTATCTACTCAACATGTTTATGTTTTATCAATAGTGACATGTATTAACTATTTCCATTCTAAATATCTTGAGAACGGTTGCTCGTAGCGATTTTTACTAAGAGATATTTTTTACGCAAAAAAATCATGAAAATGTATATTTTTTCACTCAGAAGTTTTATACGGATACGGATGAAAAGTTATTACCTTTCAAAACAGCTAAAACACATATAGGTGGCACTCCCTACAAATATGAGTGATATTGACACGAAAATCAAATTTCTTATGTCAGAAAACTCACAAATAATAATTTTCATCCAAATATTGAGGTTACTTCAGAAGTTATTTAGAAAAAATCGAAATAAAAATGAAACTTCTACGCAATGTATCTCCGAAACTAAGCATTTTAGGACATACATTTATACAAACTTTTTTACTTATTTTTATCTGCAGAATATGCTGCCGAATTTTCCGGAATGCAGTTCGGACCATCCTGTATATAGCTTGATTTTCATGCATCCGTTGTCCAACAATACGTCGATACGATATTAATTTTGTTGGTAGAATTTAAAGACTTTGATTGGTTAGAAAATAACGCAGTTTTTAAATTTATTGCATTTTCATGCCTCCGTTTATCGGATATACGTTGGTGTCATTTTATACTTTCGTTTCCATAACGATTTTGCTATTTTATTTATATTTTTATTAAGGTTAGATTAAATTTGTCAAAAAAGTATCAAAACGTCCGTTATCGTATGAACGGGTCCGTTGACGGGCTGAAGTAAAATATTTACGGATGAAAAGTGGCGCGAAAACGCTATGACCAATTAGAGCACCGTCGGACCATCGTATCAACGTATAACGGATGCATGAAAATCAAGCTTATGTCGGCCTCTATCGACTTTATCCTTATTCCCTAAAATTTCTAGTCAATTCGCGTATTACCGGTAAACAGCGTAACTATTCAATTGGTACATTGTTTGACTGTCGAACTCAGTCATTCCCTGCAATGATGGAATATTTCAGTGAAATGCTGTAATTAACTAAATGATTTAAGTTACCCTGTTTGACCGTTTGTGTTGTGCAGTGATACTTTTTAGTGTATCAAAGTAAGGCATTTTTCGTAAATATGGTATTTAAGATAAAAAAATACATCAAAATGTTTCTAGGTTTCAGTATTTTGTGACAGAAAATTGGATATTTTGAAATTGGAGGTTAGTTAAATTTAATCTCGAAACGGCTTAATATGTGTATTATACCCACAGATTATACCAAACGAAAAATAAATACAGAACATATAATTCATAAAACAGAAAAAGTTACAAACTGAGAACGAAAAACAAAAGTTTAAGATAAATTGAATTGAAAAGACAAAATTGTCATAAATCTATATATTTTTTCTATCTCTAATAATAAAATGAATAGAATCCAAATTTGAGGAACCACCCTGTACATAGTGTTTATATTTCATAAGAGAAAATTTGTGCACAAAGTATTTTCTGCAAAAATTAAAATATAATATTATATTTTAAAACGTGTTAAACGTGACGTTATGCTTGAAAACATATAGAACGTCAATTCCGCTACGTTCCATGGCTATTTCTTATTTTTATTTAAATAATATTCACCCAGTTTATTGAAAAATAAATTTAAATGTTGTGTCGTGTCTATATCCATATAAAATTCATTGAATATAAGTAAGCAATAAAATTGAATATAAGTAAGCAATAAATATATTCATTGACTAAAACCGTCAAACAGGGTAACTGAAATTATTCAATTAATTACAGCATTCCACTCAGTTAATTTCGTTTTTACATGAAATGACTGAGATCCACAATCAAACAATGTACTAATCGAATACTTTCGATCGGTACCTTGTTTGTAATGACTGTAAACAACAGGCAATACATGAAACGACTAGGCATTTCGGGGAATAACTAACGTATTTCCGTATATGATTTCAACATATAAAAGTTAAAATGCCAGTTGGAGCACTATTATTCTAACCTAGTTTCTGCATAACTAATTCATTATCATATCATTAAAATACTGTATGGTATTCAGAGGTGGGATACAACAGCATTTGGTTACATCTGTGCGATATACTCGTATTTACGTCTACACAGAAATAACTAAAACTGTAAGTTCTATTCCAAATTAATATTAACAATATTCTAGTTATTATACGACACTTTATGTTTACTACGTATTCAGAGGTGGGATACAAAAGTTTTTTCATGAGTTATAGTTTGGGTTGTATTGTACACAAATCGTTGGATCATTAAATCTTAAATAATATATATATATAACATAAAATATATTTCACTGCTATTTATTAACATTTAATTGTTTGTTTAATTATTTTATTAAATGTGTAAAATACTGGAATAATAACATCTTACCTACAAAATTATTAAACTTAGATATAAAAGACTGCGACACTCCAACATAAAGATCGGTTTAATATATCTGAACCTGTACTCATACTAAGACAAATTTTAACATATGTTAGTATTCACAGAATACATGTTAGGATCAAAAAATTGTATATTTTAAAAACACATGGACAAATTAGTTTAAAAATACAAACGTTATATAAATTCAAAATAAACATCACATTTACACACATAACTTACTGTCATCCTGGTAACTGGATATTTCATCGACGAATTCTTGTAGGTGTTTGGGTAGTGCGTCCACAGTTTTGACTTGATCTCGATCCAGAACAATAACAGGTGGTTCATCATTTTCGTCACTAGTTGGGTTATCACTAATGTTTCTTTTATTGACGGAATTGTTTGGTTCTTTATGAGATTCACGGGGCTTACTGTTATCCCTACTTCGACCGAGATGCTTTGCCTTAACTTTATCCATGAATTCTTGCTCTAGCTCGATGGGGTGAATTATTTCTTTGGCCAGCGGTTCATCGTTCTCTTTGAGATCATTGCTGGAGGAAATCTTGATGACTTTTTGCTGCTTTCTTTCCTGTCTTTCGGTGAACTTGTTCATGTACTCGTCGTACATTTGTTGCCTGAAGAATTCCGTTGGAAACACCGGCATGGAAGCCGGCCTGGTCTTTGGTTCGTTCTCTTCCCGAATTTCAGCAAAATCTCCTTTTTTCGATACATAGAAATCGTCTACTTGGAATTCCTTCTGTTTGCTCGGCGCGAGTTCAGCCTGAATTTTACGTTTTTCGTCTTCCAATTTCTCCAATTCGCGCTGGATCTCCATCTCTTTCTCCATGATTTGTCGTAGTTGGCGTTCGTAAATTTCTTGCGGTAAAGAATTACGGCGGGCGTTTGAATGTTTCAGCTGTTCGCGGCCGCTAAACGTTCGGCGTAGGCTATTTATAGGTATGCTGATCGAGTCGAGATGCGAAGTGCTCTTACTCTTATTTCTGGCCAATGTCAGCCATTCGCTTAAGTTTTTAGCTTGTAGTCTTTTGCGAGAATCGTCTTCGAAAGGCTCGAACTCACGAGAAGATTCGGCTTCGCTAGATTCTTCTTTTATTATGGTCAAAAGTCTGTTTGGACTCATAACTTCATTTTCGCGTGAATATTCATCCCGATCACCTTCGTCGTTGGTTCTTCGCATATAGAAATGTTCTTGGTGCTCTACATATTTTCTGTTATTCTCCTGATTCTCGTTGTGATGAAGATCCTTCTGAGTATACCATCTACTAGGCATGACTGAAACATTGTTACCTTTATCATAAATTTCCGAATGATTGAAAATGAAAGGTAGTTTGTTAGTATAATTTTCAATAGATTTTGATACCTCCGCCAATTCTTTAAGAATCTCTTCTCCAAAGGGTTGAGATATTAAGAAATTCAAAACGAGACTTCTTAGCGGTAACGGTTCGTAATAACGTTTGACCTCATCGCTTTCTTCGTCTTTTGTTATAGAACTTACGTCTCCAATAGAAGATGTAGGATTGTATTTTGCGGTACATCTGGAACTTTCACCTGAGCTGTCGCTGCTTACCGAATCCCTACGTGGAGGACTTAAAATATTGTCGTGTATGGTTTCATTATTTTCAGGAATACTTTCATCATTCTGACTTTTTGTAATATTTTTAGAAGGTTTATAATTATCATCTGATGGCACAACAGCATCAGCCTTAGTGGGTTCTTCTATATAAATAGGAACTATAATTTCTTTTGTATCTGTTTTTTCTTTATTAAATTTAGTTTCAATCGAAGTTTTAATTTCGGTTTTTGTAGCGGCGAGAACTTCTTCCTTTGGCAATTTTGTGGTTGAATCTTTTCCAGTTTTTATTGGCAGGTTTTTATCTTTCTCTAAATTATTTTCAGTTTTAATAGGTATTATATATTCTTTAGTTTGTATATTCTTTCTATTTCCTTCTTGTCGATTTTTATCTATGTTTGTTTCAGTTGTTATCGGTATAATAGTTTCTTTGCATCTAATACTACCATTACATTGGTCGGTGTTTATTTGTTTTACTGGTTCTTCTATTTTAATTGGTATAATAACTTCCTTTACGCATTTTTTAGTTGCATCGGTGTCATTTGCTATATTTTGATTTGAGACATATTTTCGTGTTAATTTATTACTTTCCTCCAAATATTTATTACTTGTTGAAAGGTTCTCCACTGATTTACTGACATTTTTAAAATGTTTATATCCGATATCAAGATCCTTCTCGACGTGATTATTACATTTCTGAGTACAATAATTATTTTCAAATATTGACGGAATTTTGTTTTCTTTATGTAACTGATTATTAAGATCACTTTGAGCTTTAGACTCCTGTTCCAATTTTATTGGTATCATAATTTCGTTTTTATTTTTTTGTTGATTCAAGGTTGGTTCAGTTTGAACAGGAATTATTGTTTCTTTAGTTTGAACAAATTTTGTATTTTCTGATCTTGGAGACAGCACATTATTATTTTTATTACTATTTATGGGTAGTCTATTATTTTCTTCAATGCATTTGCTAATTAGTGAAAGATCTTCTAGAGATTTACTGGTTTCTTTAAACTTTTTATATCTAGTATCAATATTATATCCTGTGTTAGTATTACATTTTTCTATATACGAATTTTGCGATAGTGGTCGTATTATATCTTCATTTTTTAGCTTTGGTTTATCAAATTTAGTTTCAGTTTGAACTTCTTGTTCTAGTTCTACTGGTATAATAACCTCTTTATTTGTTTTTAGCTGGGTTGGAGATTTTTCAATTTGGACAGGAATTAATATGTCACTAGATAGATCTATTTTTTCGTTTACCAGATCTTTTATTTGTATTTCATTCACGTTTTGTTGTATACTTATACCTTTAGGTATTAACAGTTTCTTAAGCACACTGTTATCAGATATGTGTTCGTTTACTACTTTTTCAACTTCAGAAAACATTGTTGTTCTAGATTTCACTAAATTAGAAGTTCCGTTAAGTTTATTATTTTTTTCATTTAACTTTCCATTCTCATAAATTTCAGTTTCCTTTTCTGTAAGACTATCATCAAATACAATATTACCATTATGTTCTTGAGAAAACTCCTTCACTCTTTTTTGAACCAAATTTGTTGTAGGCAATGGTTCTTCTTTTAATTTTGCCTTTTCAATGTCTTTCTTTAATTTTTCTTCGATGGTCTGTTTTTTCACAGATCCAAAAGATTCTTGTTTACTTATTTTACTTTTTAATTCTGAATTAATTTTACATATGCTTTCAAACTCTAACAATTTTTCACTATCAGTCTTATTGGAGTCTTTTGAGCCCATCATTACATGTTTCAGTACATTTTCATCCAATTTATTTTCTATGGTATTAAATTTACTTCTTAATTTTACTTCTGTAGATTGATCTACATATTTTTGTTTTACAAGTTCATGATTTACTTTGATGTTGCCACTTTGATTATTTGTGTTAATTACAACTTTGTCTTTTTCCAAATCTCCTTGTTTTAAATACCTGTCTTCATTTAATGTAGTTAAGTTCATTACCTTACTAGGTTCTGAATCACAAGTGCTTTTAGTAAAAGATATATCACTATTTTGTTCTGAATGACTTTCGTTTCTAAATACTTGTACACTATGGTTATTTAGAGCTTTAAATAGAGAGTCAGGCTCTTTTTGCGTTAGTACATTCGAAGGCTTAGTATAATCGAATAATATTTGTTTTAATACACTACCATTATTTGATTTGACTTCTTTAGCATTATTATTGTTATTACTTTCCTGAGATAGAGGTGGCACCACTTTTAAAGAAGGGGCCGAATTGACAGGACTTTTGTCATAAATGGTGTTATTGATTTCTTGATTTCTAGATATTTTTGTTGTACAGGTAAGTTGGCTAGAATAATTGGTTGTATTAGATTCATTGGCATCTATTTCCAAAATGTCACTAGAATATTTATTTACTTCATCGTTTTTTAATTCGGTATTTTGATTTGTAACTGTTTTACTTTCTGTTTTTGTTTCTGTTTCTTCTTCAGAGCACTCATTTGTATGAGTGTCATTATTTTCTATACGATCAGGTTTATCTACTTTTTCAACACTTAGTGTACCATTTTCTTCGATCTGTTCATTACCAGATAATGAGGAATCACTTGACTCACTTATATAAACTCTCTCGGCGTTTTCAAAACTTTCTGGTAAAGTTGTTGTATTACAGATCAATGTATCTTCATCATCAGTTTCTTGTGGTTTGAGAGGTTCTAAAATTTTAGTTTCTACTAAAATTGCACTTGACAATTCAGATTGATTTATGTTTCTTTTTAGTAGTTTACTTCTATTTCTTCTTGGGGGTATAGGAGGGGGTTTTTGTCTCTCGTCTTGTTCTGGAGTACCTTGTTTAGGATTCTTATCTACCTGCGCATTAGTTTGACATTCTTTGTCGCTTATGTCGCTAGTTTCTTCCGATATTGCATCTAAAAACCGCGGATTCTGTGCTATGGGCATAAAATATTGTTCTAATTCTTTACGCGTTTGGATTTTTTTGTGTTTTGAAGAATCCGTAGATGGACTAGTTCGATCTAGTAAATCTTTCGCCGAGTCTTCGGGTGTATCAATTAAGTTCAGTTCGCCTAAAAATGTTCTCAGTTTTTGTTCCTCTTCAGGACTAATGTTTGATTTAGATTCTATATGATTGTCGTCATTTAGTATTAACGAAATTGAACTAAGTGTAGTTCGATTACTTTTACGAGTATCGGAATCGGAATCGTCCAATAAATTTTCGTCCGACGACGCTTCTGATATAACGACATTTAATGGGTGTGGTTTGGAATCTTCACTCTCACTAACTTCCGATAATTCTTGAATTTTTAGGTAGTCGTCATCATCCAAACTTTTACTTTTTACCATCAGTTTCTTGTCTTTAGACTTGACCTTTTCATCTATTTTAAGTTCTTTTGGAGATTCCACTTTATATTTATGTTCAATTCTTTTTAGTTTAAGGCTTTCGATGTTCTTATGAGGTTCTTCTTGAGGCGATAATACTATTTCTTGTTCATTGGTGGACTCCTCTGGATTTTCCGCAATGGTTTCTTGGGTCAGGTCTTTCACAACAGCACAACTCCGATTTTCATGTGAAGTGCTTCTGTTAAGAACATTTCTTCTTCTCTGTCTTCTTTTCTTGCTTTTTGACATACGTTCCGGTTCATCATTCATCTCTTCCGTTTCCGTTTCCCAACACAGATGGCTTTTGCCTATATGAGACGAAATCGGCTCGGTATTTTAAAGATTGGGCTTTGAACACCAAAAAGACACATTTTAAGCTAGCTGGAGATAAAGAGAGAGAGATGGCGAATATAAAATGTGTTGAAGTCTTAGGATTGTTTGCTTGTGGATGGTAAATACAATAAAGTTATATTACGTTACGAATATTTGTAGTTGTTATTAGAGTTTGCACAGTATCGGAGGTACGATCCAATTATTAATCATAAAGGAAATAATAACTATGTTGACATTTAACAAATATTGATACTTGTATAGTTAACGTATTAATTAAAACTTGTAGAAAATTCGATTGAATCTATTGAATGAATTAGTCAGGCAACATAAAAATACCATCATTCCTTAAAAAAATATTTCTATATTCTGTAAGTTTTTAAAATGTATAGATATATTAGCTTAACTAATATAAACGAAATAGAAAATAAAAATAGACCTTATTACTATTTACATAAATCTAAGAAAAACTTAATTTAGTCGCCTTTAAAAAGAAATCGAACATGTGCTGTGCTGATTTATATACGATTGGTATTATTTTGAAAAAGTTGTACTTTGTTACCTCCAAGAATATTATACATAAAATGTGTATTACTGGAAGACAGACATTTTGTTTGGTTTGGCTAAATTTTTATCTGCTAAAAACTATATTAGTCCGTAGTTATACAGGGTAGTTCTTAAATAAGTGCAACTATTTTCAGGGATGGTAGTAGGGTTTCTAAACCGGGATCCCGGGATCCCGGTGTATGTTTATCTCCGAAATCCCGGTATTAAATCCCGGGATCCCGAAAATCCTGAAAATCCCGAAAAATTTAAATGCACATTCTAAAATCATTCGACTTTAAACACTTTAGTCTTTCAAAGATCATATAAGCAGTACAAAATAACCGATATTTTACTTTGAAAATTTCAAAAAATTGATTTTTCAATTAAATTTTGAGAACCACTGGATCTTTTCTGGGTTTTCTTTCTTGTAAATTTAATCTCTTGCCTAATATTATTAAGATATGCTTTTTAACTAAAAATTAAAGAAATTTCCAATTTTGTTCCTGAAAAAACCTCACAGACGTGATTCTGGGGTTAAAATATAGGTACTACTCCTAATAATAGTAGCACTTGTTTAAGACTCATCTTGTATGGGTAAATTAAGAAAAATAAGTCCCATTGCAAAAAACATCCAATGCGTGCTTTGCAGTTGTCATTTTTCATATAAGATTGAAATGATTTTGGAAAACTTGTATTTAGTTATCTCAAAGAATATTATACATAAAATGTGTATTACCAGAGAACAGAAATTTTGTAAATATTTATCTGCTAAAAACTATATTTAGTCCGTAGTTATACATTGTGAGTCTTAACTAAGTGCAAATATTTTTAGGAGTAGTATATTTAGTAGTATTATTACCCCAGAAATACGTTTATGAGGTTTTTTTCGCGAAAAAAAATGTTGGCAAATTATTTTTGCAATTTTTTTCAATTTTTAGCTAAAAGTTTCTAGTTAAAAAACATAATGAATGATGAAATTTAAGGCAACATAGGTAGTAGATTAAATTTACAAGAAAGAAAACCCAGAAAAGATCCAGCGGTTCTCAAAATTTAAGCCAAAAATCAATTACTTATTATGTAAATTCAAAGTAAAATATCTTCGTTATTTTGGGCCCATTTGCAAAACGGTAAAGAGAAAATATGTGTCATTTATTGAGATTTACCAGCCGTGAAAATATTTGCACTTACTCACCTGTATAATATATTTTAGTGATATGTTATATTATGTTTAGTGCCGTGGCTGTGTTAAAACCACTAATTTTTAATGAAGCAGCCTTGGAAAAATATATTTGATCGTCTAATATTTTTCGTGTCCTGTCCTGGCCGGTTAAAAGATGCCCAAATCTTATTTTTAATCATATGTCAGTTTTTTCAAATCGAACAAGGATAGCTCATTAAAATATTTGGAAAAAACATTTTTGACGAATAATTTGGTACCTGGTATAACGAACCAAACACCTGGTATTTCGAACCAAATTGTCGTTATGAACCGCACGTTACAATTTCAAGTAAACCATATGCGAAAATGTCAAAAGCTGACATAGGCTATGTCATTCTATTGAGAGTGTCATTTTCTATCGAATAAAGTAGAAATATACCGAGGGTGCCATTTAAAAATCAAAAGTTGTAGTCATTTCCGGTGAAACAGAAAGTGACCGAAAACAATTGAATATAAAAGAATCAATAAATATTTATACATAGATAAAAAATATGATATAATGTATTGTATTCTAATAAAAAATCTAAAAAAAAACGTCTAACATCCACTGATTGTCATTGAAATTTTAATTGAGATGATCTATTAGGAATAAGATTAGTAATTTTTAGCGTATTCCAAAGATCCTTGAAAAACGTAAACATTAATTTTAATTGCGATATTATCATCGTACATCGTAATAATGCTCTCTCGTAATGAACTTTATGTTGTAACAGTTAAAAAATAAAATAATTTTTAAACCTTATACAAATAAAACGATAAAAGCGTGATAATGATTTTGGAATCGTACCTCGTCCGACTGTAATTTAAACTATATAACAACGAAAATATTACCTATTACAACGCTTCTCGTTCTTCAACACATATTTATATAAAAAAATACATAAAGGTAACCAAACATTTCCGTATGTCCTTAGTTTCTTGCAACGATTTGTTAGACGAGCACTGCACTAAACTAAAAGAACCACCAAACGAACAAGACTGTAAGCGGCAGCCGGTAAAACTGTGAGATGTTTCTATTGTTAATGTTAAATGGTACTTATGTTTATTAGTTTAAAAACGCGGGGAATATTTTTAGCGATAATATCGTGCGAACTGTGTTATGTCGTCGTATTGTTAGACGCGGGCTTTTCGCGTGTTAGAGCGACCATAATTTTTCTTAAAGACAACAAATTAAGGTGTTATTCTTTTATATTATTAACTATACTTTAAGAAGTATCGAAATGTTCGTATCATTGCTATACAGGTAGACACAAAACTTAGTAGTTCGCTTAATTAAAATAAAATGGTGTAGGATTAAGTCATTGAAAATGAAGAAAAATAGCTATACAGGGTTTTTCACCACATACGACACGGAGTATTGTAGCTAAACGATTAGATTTTTACAAATTGTAAGTTTTGGGTTAATTGAAAGACTATTCGAGCTACAATTTAAAAACAATTTTACAAGATACAGTGTCCCAAAATAAGTAAAAAATATTATAGTTGTTTTTCTAAAATCGATCACACTGTATATTATTCTATTTTTAGATTCTACGATTGAAATAAAGGTAAAAATTTGATTAAGGTTTATCACACTTAAACCTTACCGTTTTTGAAATGTTTTTAATTTTATGAAATTGCATATTTACTAAAGTTTATTTTTTATTGATCAGATATTGTGTTGCAATAATCAACAAAATACTACCTTATACAGAGTGTCCAAAAATTTATATTAAATAATTACTAGCTTCAAACGGCAATAACTTTTTTAATTTAATTGGAACACCCTGTATATTGATGCACAATTTAATTGTCTATCAAATTGTGTTGTAGCCATTTTTATATCATTTTTTATCTATTTTGCATTTTCTTATAATTTAGATCTCCTTTATCACTATACCCGTGGAATATTGACATTTTTTGAAAGCAGCATACGTACGAAATGTACAAGTGGTAAAAATAATAATATTGCAAGCCCATTTGTTTACAAAAAGAAAGCTATTTAAATTTTTGTAAAAGAGTATACCAATTAAATATACCACCTTTATTTCAGCCTAAAAATTAGTTAATTACATACTTGTATATAAATTGTTTTAATTAATAAATTATTCTAAATAAATGTGGATTTGACTCAGAAACTAATATAATAATAAGTTATGAAAATGAACGTCTCTGTTGTTATAAATAAGCATTGTTATAATATTTGGTATACTATTGTTATAAATAAGCAAATAAAATAAAATTTATAAGGTGTTACTTTTTACCACGCTGTCTAAAACACATACAAAATTCAGTTTCTTAGTATTTTGGGCAATTATTATTAATCAACGTAAACAGTCAATTAATGTAGTTTGAATACTGGGATCATATTAATTGGTCCTCTTTAACAAAAAATATTTAAACAGTTTTTTTATTTTTTTTTATGAAATAAGCGAACTATATCGACAATATATTATGTATAATCTGGACTCTTTGAAAATTTGTCACATCTTTACATCATTTTTTTGTATAAAAGTTTTTGGCATTTATAGTTCAGTTGATTGTTATATCTAAATTTCTTATATACAGGGTGATTCCTGTAAGTCGGTCATGCTTTCGAGAAATGATAGGGGACGTCGAAATATTAATTTTGATATAGTACACTATGGGTCGGAAATGCCTCTTAGTTAGATACAGGATGTTAAACTTTTTGAAAAATTAAAGACATTCTTTAATAGTTTTTTAACAGTTGAAGGTATCGTTATAAAATTTCATTATAGGAATCTACCTAACAGAGACACTTTAAATGTAAAAAGTAAAGGTTTTAGTTTCAACCAGTGGCGTAGCTGTGATACGCATGGGGTATTTTGTTCAAAAACAAATAGTACGCCACTGATAAAAATAAAAATTTCGGAGTTGTTTTATTTACTCGGTTTATTTCCAAGAAAAAATGTCTCTTGCAACTTTCTCCTATCTAACACCATTTTATCACAATTTAAAAATAAATAGATTTTTTATTGAGAATCTTAAATACAGCGAGTTATTATAACTAGAGGGCAGAAACACATGTGCATCGTTAGCTCCATTCATATTGGGTAACTTTAATACTTTTTACTATTAGCACTAAATACATTTTTAAAAAATTATAAATTTAAACTAGAATTTTTTTTTATTGTTAATAATAAAATTCGTAGTTTTAAGATAATAATTCGCATATTTAGGGTTCTCATTAAAAAAATATTTATTTTTAAATTGTGACAAAATGGTGTTAGATAGAAGAAAGTTGCAAGAGACATTTTTTCTTGGAAATAAACCGAGTAAATAAAAAAACTCCGAAATTTTTATTTTTATCAGTGGCGTACTATTTTTTTTGAAAATATTAGCCGATGCGTATCACAGCTACGCCACTGGTTGAAACTAAAACCTCTTCTTTTTACATTTAAAGTGTCTCTGTTAGGCAGATTCCTACAATAAATTTTTTTAACGATACTTTCAACTGTTAAAAAACAATTAAAGAATATCTTTAATTTTTCAAAAACTTCAACACCCTGTATCTTGCGTAAGAGGCATTTCCGACCCATAATGTGCTATATCAAAATTAATATTTCGACGTCCCCTATCATTCCTCGAAAGCATGACCGACTTACAGGAATCACCCTGTATAAGCTACCTATATTTTAAAGATTTTAAAACTTGCTTGCAATTTGAAATCTATTGGTGTTTTATTTATCTATAAATTTATTTAATTGATTTTAAATCTATTTCCTTAGAGCTAATTATAAAGTCTCGCACTTTGTTCGTTGTTGATTATTTATTCTCATTCATTCTTGGGGAACCCCCCCCGTTCTCCAACATTAAATTCTCTATCTCTAGAATTTTATTATATAAATTATAATAATATTATATTATAAATGTGAAGATCAGTACAAAAGGTTAAACAAGGAGATCCAGAGACAGATTACAAGTGCAAAAGAGAGCTGGCTCCAAACCAAATGCGCTGAAGTAGAACAACTGCAGGTCCAACACAAAAATAGAGAACTACACACAAAAATCAAAGAATTCACAGGCCTTTGGAAACCCAAGCATCTGTCAGCAATCGCAAACGAAAATAACGTGATAGAACTGGACCCCAGTAAACAACAGGTTATATGGGAGAACTATTTGAAAGAATTGTTTGGAGATGCAAGAAGAAAACAGGAATATAAAATAGAGAAAGGAGACCATCTACCCATATTGAAAGATGAAGTCATCAAAGCAATCAGAGAAACGAAAAGCAATAAAGCACCCGGCGAAGATCAAATAACAGCAGAGCACTTCAAACACATAAGCGATAATGCCATCAAAATTCTGACCCAATTTTTCAATAAAGTATATGAAACTGGAACAATCCCCGAAGACTGGGTAACATCTACCTTCATAGCCTTACCCAAAAAGAATAAAGCGAAGAAATGCGAAGACCACAGAACAATATGTCTGATGAGCCACGCAGCGAAAATCTTTATGCGCATAATATTCAATAGAGTATACAGCAAATGTGATGATTTCCTTACTAGATTACAATACGGTTTTAGAAGGGGGACAGGAACAAGAGAAGCCATCTTGAGTTTAACGTTAATTGCATAGAGGTACATGGAACTCCAAAGGAAGCTGTACGTATGTTACGTTGACTACAAAAAAGCGTTCGATCGAATAAAGAACGAAAAATTAGTAGAAGTTCTCAGTGAAGTAGGCTTGGATGAGAGAGATATTATCATTATAAGGAACACATACTGGAATCACAAAGGTTGTGTCAGAACAGAAAAAGGAAATACAAGATACATAGACATACAAAGAGGTGTTAGACCGGGATGCATATTGTCACCATTATTGTTTAACGTTTATGCCAAATATATAATCCGAAAATCTCTTCAAAATTGTCCAGAAGGGGCTAAAATAAATGGAAAAATTATAAACAATATAAGATATGCAGACAACACCGTGGTATTAGCAGAATCCGAAGACAAGCTGCAAACCCTAATGGACAAACTGACAGAAGAAAGTATCAGGATGCGTCTAGAGATTAACACCGCCAAGACAAAAACTATGATTTTCGACAGACATCCGCAAGACAATGAAAATACCGACATAATGGTAAACGGCGTCCATCTAGAAACCACGCGGAGTTATATTTAATTGGGTAGGGAATTAAACAGCCAGCTAGACCACTCTAAAGAAATCAGAAGAAGAATAGAAATAGCTAGGGCTGGTTTCTTCAACATGCGGAAGTTTTTGTGCCATCTCAGAATAGGTATACCAACGATGCTAAGAACATTAAAATGTTATATATGGCCCCTACTTCAATATGGATGCGAAACTTGGACGCTAAAACAAGAAGACATCAAACGCCTTAATGCTTTTGAAATGTGGATGTATCGTCGGATGCTGAGGATAAGTTGGACATCCAGAACAACAAATTGTGAAGTTTTAGACAGAATGAAAACTCGTCCACACCTAACAGGAACAATTAAAATCAAAAAGACTTCCTACCTTGGGCATATAATGCGGCACTCAGAATATGAAGAAATACAGCTCATAATAGAAGGAAAAATCGATGGAAAACGTAGCATAGGGAGGAAAAAGAAATCATGGCTACGTAACATAAGAGATTGGACCCACACCGACGGAAACACTCTTATTCACCAAACTCTGGACAGAGAGTCATACGCCATATTAATCGCCAACCTCAACAGAGAAGGCACCTAGGAGGGAGAGGGATAGAATTTTACAACATATTCAAGGATACTCCGCCATCCATTGCTATCATGAGTGCTAGAGCACCCAAAGACTACATGGGTGTTTCCCTCTGATTTTCAATAAGTAGTTCGCCGTACCAAACCTCCCAATTAGTGGAATAAATTAGTGATTTCAATAACACTTTATACTTTTTAGTTTACGATCACTCACAATTCACAATGTTTAGAAAACACAATTAAAATTAATAAAATGTCCTAGCACTAATTTTCACGTTCTGTTCTGAATGCATTGAAATTAAAGGAACAAATTTCTATGCTAATTAAAACCACTAATTCTTTAAAATCCCTACTGAGACGCAATTTTTATTCGATTGTGGGGTACTGAAGAAGATTATAGGTACAATAATATAGGCACACTAGTTGATGATTTTTTTGGCGGTTACTGTACACGTTTCTCATTAGAAATTGTTTGGAAGATCATTTAACACATATGTGGAGGTTGTTACAGTATCATAATCAAGGTCTTACTGTTCTTTTTGTTATTAAGATTCGAAAAACTATATCGCACATCTCGTTCAAAACTGTATTATCAAAAAAAAAATGTTTTTGATATTATTTTCAAAAATAATACCCTTTTAATTTGATTGCTCCAGAAGAATGCCAGTGAAATTTTATGAAAACTCCACTATAACGCTGTTTGGCAATTAATATCCATAAATCAGTATATTGACTTAACTTAAATTTTCTTTTGCTCCTCATAAGAAGTTTTTATATTTCGAGTTAATACAGTTTTGAATAGTATGTGCGATATAAAAATAAATGTAAAAATACGAGAAGTTAATTTTTATTATCTAACTAAAATACTTTTGAAAATTTAACAATTTCTTGCATAACTGCGACTCATAGACCTTCTAGTATAGTTATGATAAATTATTTGTCAAAATGCTCTTATTGAAAACTATTATAATAAAAAACATCAGATGCAATAAAATATAGGAGTGTCCTTTATATACCTCCATATACATTTGATTTTACCGCTTTTGAAATTTTATTTTATGATTTTTCTTTTTGGAGTAATATCAAAGTATTATTACAATGTTAGAAGTATTTTTTAACTACAATAGTTCTGAAAGTAATTTGAAGTACTGAAAGTGCTGAATTATTTTTCTTTTCTATCATTGATATATAAGATAACATTTATTACTGCTCTAGAAAACACTATTTAATTATTTATCCTAATAAACGGAATTAAGATTTACCAGCTTATAGCTATAGTTCCATTGCTTATGTTCCTTCACCATTTTGTCAAGAAAATTAAATTATTTTTTAACTAACCAATTTAGAATAACACCTCAATCTATTACTTTTTTTTGGCCAAACAAGCAAGTTAGCTTTCTTATTTTTTAGTGAATCTTATTATAAGGCGGCATATTTTTCTAAAATGCATAGAAATTTCACATTGTATATTGTTTACATAAATATGAAAAGTAATTAAAAGGGCTTTACGGCACATACAATTCAACAACTTCTTGCAATAAGTATATAATTATATTCATTTACCTTCGTCAGGGATAGAACTGCAATTCGAATAGGATGATTGTCTTGATACAACGGCGTGGTCAGAAGATATGGTTTTGTCTACAAAAATAAGAACAACACGTATTAACGTATTTCAGTTTATTCAGGTTTCAACTTTCCAGAAACAAGAAGTTATATTTATTAAAGCGTAGATGCATATATTGTAGGTTAGTAAAAGTTAGATGTTTACTATTTTTCAGTCTTCAAAGAATAACATTAAATTCAAATTCAAATTTCTTTATCAGACCCCATTAAGTTTTACAGAATAATATTTGTATTAATAAATGTGTGTCTAAAGGGATCGCACCGCGATTAAAAAACCGATACAATGGTACAAAGTGTCAGAGTGGTGCGACCCCAAATACAAAATAGAAATAAATTAAATTATAGAAATAAACTAAATTAAAAAAATTAAAATTATATAAAAAAAGTGAAAATATAATTTAATCAGGGATGAGCGGAGATAAGCAGAGAGGCATAATGAAACAGTGTAAAAACCGGAACAGCAACCAATTACGGGCATATCAGAGGAACAAGATCTCACAAATCAGTCGAAGAAATTATAATATTTACGAATTTAGTAAATGATTTTTAATTTGTTTTTTATAATATGTAAAGGATTGAAATTTAAAGTTATTAGAAATATTATTCCACAAATGTGGCGCCATGAAACTGAAAGATTTTTGGACGTTAGCTGTTCGGTGTTGAGGAATTTTAAAATAATGCACTTGTCTAGTCGAATGATCATGGTCAACGTAGTGAAACAATGAGAACAAATAGGGAGGCTGCTCTGTAGTTAAAATTCGATAAATGAATGTCATTAAATGAAATTGTCGTCTGTTTAGTCATGGATAAAATAGATAAATTTTTAAGATGTGGCGTTATATGATCTCTAAAAGGAATGTTAAAAGAAAACCGTAGACACGAGTTTTGAAGTATTCGGATTTTTCTAGAGAATCTAGCGTTTATGGATGTACCATAAACAACATCGCCATAATCAAATAAAGATAAAATAAGCGTGTCACATAATTAATTGATACTTAGTCTTTGATGGTATATATTTCTTAAGAGACGAAAAATTCTTCAACCGTATATAAGCAGCCTTTAATTTAGTAGTTATATGTGCCTGAAAAGAAAGCTTCGCATCAAAATAGACTCCAAGATTTTTAGTCTCTGTAACAATGGGTATCGCAACATTATCTATATGGATATTCATGTTACCAGCCGTATTTGTAATTTTGTTTTGTATCACTACCAAATACTATAACACAAGATTTACCGGCATTTAATTTCAAATTATGATCCAGAGCATATTTATTAATTTTATTAAGATCGTCGTTAAAATTTAACTGAAATTGTGCCAAATTATTAGTATTTATTCTGCAATAAATTTGAGAATCATCTGCATATTGCTGCAATTCAGAAAACTGTAATTCCTAAAGGCATCTACATATATAAAATGCTAATGTTGGCCTGTGTCGTTTCTACTGAAGTAACGACTTGTTCTAGAAAGTTGCTTTTTTTAAAGAAGATAGCTAATTGGCTCTTCTAAAAACTGTCGTCGCCGGATTTTTTGTTTTTCATTTAATTAAAAAAAATAAAAAGTATTGTTTTCCTGATGTCGTGGCGGATGCGCCAGGCTTCAACTAGTAGACAAATAAAAGAGTAATCTGTTTTAATTTGATTAGAGACAATAATACTGAAACTGACTCAAATAAGTATAGTCACAGCTCTGTTAAGATTATGAATGGTACAGAGGAAGAATTGAAGATATTGTCGATTATTAAGGTCATTCCCAAATTACAAATTAGTTTTATTTTACTTTAGAAAATTTACTGAAGCAAAACGTTTAGGTACAATATTCATAAATACCCCTTTTAGGGAATAAATATGTACCTATCATTAAAAATATTCTACTATAGACAAAGGCTGTCCAATGAAAGTAGAGACTTTGCGACAGACAATTGACAGGTGACAAACAAAAATTGACAGAAAATTTACTTACTCTTTACTAATGATAACTAATGATTTAAATAACAGGTTAAATTGTGACACTAGATATTATGCAAATATTCAGAATAATATATAGATAAATTTAGTAGTACCTTCAGGAACTAATGTGCTTGGTGTTGATCCTGTTGAACTAGATGAAGTCGATCTTTGTGAAACTGGAATGTTACTCGCTACGGAAATGTTTCTTTCAGTTCTTTTATCACCTGCAAATAAATATTGTTGTTAGTCTTTATATAAAAAAAACTAAGAAGGTAATAACTATATGACCTTTCTCCTTTTTAAATCATGACATATTACTTAAATTGATTCATTATTTGGACGCTAACCACAACAAAATAAAACACTAATTCACTACAAAATACCAAACACTTTACACTGGACATGCGTTTCGCTAACCATCATTAAAACTGAAATGAGTTTTAATCATCTGCTGATGAAGCAATGGTTAGCAAAACTCGCATCAAGTGATAACAGTAAAGTGTTTTGGTATATTGTGGAGAATTACTATTTTATTTTTCAGTATAGGTATACTTCTACTAGCAAACGCGAAACCCCTACGAAAGGTAAAGGCAAGTCATGTGGTTTATTCTGAAAAATAACTCCTTAATAAAAATTGATTTTGGTGACAGCTCAACAGAACCTTAAGTTTGACACAATCTTTGTTTTTATTAGTTAGTGGACCTTTAGTAAGAATATTTTATTTGAAATATAGTGGTGAACTACTACTGTTATGTCTAATGTTGATATTTCCTGTATACTGTATATACCAATCGAGGCTTTCGAAATATGGACTCTCCGGAGACTTACGTGTGCCATGGACCGCACATGCCATCAACGAAGAAGTTTTAAGAACTGCAGGCTAGGAACGAGAAATACTTAACATAGTTAAAGAAAGAAAAGTTTCCTACCTCTGCCATATCCTTAGAGGAGACAAATATTACATTCCTAAACTAAAACTACAAGGAAAAATAGAGGGACGCCGAGGCCCAGGAAGAAAACAACATTCCTGGCTAAGAAACATATGGGATTGGTGTAACATCAGCGACGCAGCCACCATATTTCGAAGAGCCGAAAACGGCACTCTACACATTACATGAAGAGTACAGGGTGGCTCGAATCCGACGCTCATCATTGGGATTTCGGAAACCGTAAGAGATACAGGATCGGTTAAATGGAGGCAAAGTTGCGCAAATTGATGCTCAATAAAATGCCGGATTGCATTATGAAAAATTCCGAATACTTCCGAATATATTCGAAAAAAAAAACCGGAATTTTCGATTTTGTTTTATATTGCTTCCTGGCTTTATTTGTTAAGATAACTTAAAATGAAAAACACATTTTCATGGCCACTTTTTCTGCTCTATAACTCTGTGGGATTAAATACTGACTCTGACGTTTCGGCTTCTGGCGACCATCATCAACTTAATTTTTTTTAAATACGGACCTGATTTTTTTTTCAATTTAATTAAATCCTTTCATCACTCTTAAAACACTATATATAGTCACTTTGATATTTGCCGACGTTTCGTACAGAAAATTCTATCACCCGAATATTTCATGCAAAAAAAAACCGGTATAGAAACCACCCGGTATATGTTATGAAATTGAGGCATTTTTGCAATGAGTAATTTATGATAAATCTACCAGACCAGAACAAAAAAAATTTCCATTAAAAAAACTTTACTAATAAGTGAGCAAATTAAGTTTGCATTACCTCGTATACAGGGTGGCGCACCTCATTCGCCTCGGTTGATTATACGAAAACGGAAAGATGTAAAAACAAAATATTTTATGAGTATACGTGGGGAGGCAATGTGCACAATTTAAAATTATTTTGAAATATACAGGGTGTTTCAGAACTAAGAACCATACCAAAGTTATATTTTTTCTTATGGAACACCCAGTATTTTATTTCATTTTTGGATTCTTGATTCCAAAAAAAAGCCTTTTTTTATAAGGGTTGAATATGTTTAAAATCTTTGGTTTTTGAGATATTTAAAGATATTTAAATTTCCATGCTACAATAGAATAGATTATTAACACCCTGTACATTACATTTCAGAATTAATTCTTGTGTTAAGTTTAAAGGTAGTGAAATAAACTTTACTGCAAAATGTTATTGCTTCCTTAAATTTATACAGGGGTATCAAAAATTGCTGATCTATTTTAAGGATATATTTTATATAAAAACTTCGTTATTTCAAATACAACACCCTGTATTTTTTTAAATAAATCGAAGAAGATTTAAATGCTCTTTCAAACTATGTTAGGGTTTCCTATACCTACTTAGCTCAGATTTTGAATAAAAAAAATTTTTAAATAAAATTGCAATCAAGGTGGCTGGTGTCGGCATGGCAATTTTCAGTGAGTAACTATTTTTAAAGTCGACAATAGTTTATGGACTTAATTTAAAATTATTTAAATTTATAGCAGTTTACTTTTATTTAATTTATCTTCAATAGCTTAATAAGCGATATTTATTAAATATGTTATTTATTATTTTACCAAGAAAAACAAAGAAGTAGTCTTGGATTTATTTTACAATGACTTGTAGATATATGGGTTTTCTTTAAAAGAGCCAATTACGTCAAATTCATTTTCTTCACTTCCAATGACATGTTTCTGCCTAATAAGTTTTTCATAAACCACACTACCAGCTCTGCGATATAGGACAAGTAGTTTTTCAAAAGAACGCTTATTAGGAAGACTCCCATTTGGATATCTTTGAGCATAAGCCCTTGAGGCCAAAAAGCAATTTTCCTCACAAAATAAAATCACTAGTAACATATCCATTCGTTCCGCCAGCAGATACTGCTTTATTTTTCTTAATAAAATAGTGAATACTTACTTATATTAAACTATTGTAGGTAAATTTAAGTAAACTGTTATAAATTATAAATAATAATGTCCATAAACTAAGGTCGACTTTAAAAATAGTTACTAACTCTCACTAGAAAATTGCCATGGCGTACACCAGCCACCTTGATTGAAATTTTATTTAAAAAATCGCTTTATATTCAAAATCTGAGCTAGATAGGTATAGGAAACCCTAATATAGTTTGAAAGAGCATTGGAATCTGCTTCGATTTATTTAAAAAAATATAGGGTGTTGTATTTGAAATAACAAAGTTTTTATGTAAAATAAATCCTTAAAATAGATCAGCAATTTTTGATACCCCTGTATAAATTTAAGGAAGCAATAACCGAGGCAATAACATTTTTCAGTAAAGTTTATTTCTCTACCTTTAAACATAGCACAAGAATTAATTCTGAAATGTAATGTACAGGGTGTTAATAATCTATTCTATTGTTGCATGCATATTTAAATATCTTTAAATATCTCAAAAACCAAAGATTTTAAACATATTTAACCTTTATAATAAATGCCTTTTTTTGGGTTCAAGAATCCAAAAATTAAATAAAATACTGGGTTTTCCATAAGAAAAAATATAACTTTGGTATGGATCTTAGTTCTGAAACACCCTGTATATTTCAAAATAATTTTAAATTGTGCACATTACCTTCCCACATATACCAATAAAATATTTTCTTTCTACATCTTTCCGTTTTCGTATAATCAATCGAGGCGAATGAGGTGCGCCACCCTGTATTACAACGTACTTTGAAAAAACTAAAGTTAAAATCTCAAACAGGAAATCTCATATATTTTTTTTCGGAAAAAAGTGTCATCACCTACATAAAAAGATATATAAGGTAATTAAGACACAATTAAAATATAGTATCTATAGACATAGTATTTTCTTCGTTTATATTTCATTACATCTTCTGCAGGTCTATTGACAAGATGCCTCAATATGATTACATTCCAATTATCGTTTGAAATAACTTTCTCAACGGGAGAACTTCCTTTTCAGGATGCGGCCACCAGAGGGCATTCGAACAATTTATATAGGTACCGCTCCGAGGCGATGATTTTCCGCAATTTTCCTTTCATTTTTTTTGTAGGAAAACATCTTTTGATCTCTTGTAATTGTATATTTGTCGAGGAAGTGACTGTGGTCGCTCGAGGCAGATGTACTTAATTTGTGTGCTGGCGGAATGACAGACTAAATGATTGATTATTTAAATAAAGTGGTCTTCAGGTATGTTTGCTATTCATCATTTTTTTTCGTCGTTGACTGGAAGTTGCAGTTATTTTCTTATTCAGTCGACGTTCTTTGTTTTTCACTTTGTAAATATACGTTAAATTGAACAAAATAATAATACACAGGTTTTTATTAACTCTAGTTATTAATCAACATCGATCAGTAAAGTATTTTAAAGTTTAGTTTTGAAACAAATGTTTATGTAGTTTTTTTGAGGTTTATTTTATTTTAAATTTATTTTCAACGTTTACGCATTTCTAAACTTCTGATTTAATCGGAAATGGTTAAACTTTTTCTTATCGAAGTGAAACTTCTTTACGCGCGCTGGGAGTAAAAATTCAAAGCCATGAAATGACACGCGACACGACAGGCGAGAGGAAATCTGGTAAGGACAGCCTGCGACTTATCGTCCGATATAAATGAAATTTGGTATGTCGGTAGAGTGGACCGTGGACCAAGGCCAACTTCACTGTATACGATACGTGTCATTGCGACAATTAGTTTTGACATATACAGGGTGTTTCAAAACAAATGCGAAAAACTTCAGGGGGCGATTCCTTCAGGGGCGTTCAAAATAAAGGGTAGTTTGCTTCATAAACGTTGGGTCAAAAGTCAACCATTAGGGAGATATCGCGGTACAAAGATGATGGAAAAAAAATGTTTTTATTTTTTATCTTGAAAACGAAAAGAGATAGTCCAATGAAATTTTATGGGAGCATTACTGTTACGAAAACACACTTTCTGGTAATTTTTTCACTTTTTTAAAATGAGTGGAAGGGGTTGAAATAAACTACCCTTATCATTCTTGTTAACGAAATTTAAAGAAAAATCTTATCAAACACATGCAAAAAAATTGATTTGGATAGCTTGGTTTATTTAGAAACTTTTTTATCTCTTGTGTTTCTTTGATAAAACTCGCCGATTTGAAATTAAAAATAACATGTAAAGCATTACATGTCAGGATCAAAAACATTTTTAGATAAAGAATCTCGTGATAATAACGATAATAATAAGAATCTAGATAATAACGTATTGCAGTAGAGTAATATCAATAAAATAATATTAGAAACATCCTAAAAAGTGACAGCGGCCGACTA